GGAGGGTTAATATCAGAGTTAAGTGTTCTATGTATGTAATAGGTGCAGTAATAAGTATGGATGTTTTGTATGGTGAGTAGGTTGAGTGTTTTGAATATTGGTGGAGTGTGCTGCCTGTAGTGAGAATTTGTTATCATTCTAACTGCAGCCTTTTGTTGGGTAATTAGTGGTCTGAGATGGTTAATTGTTGTTGAGCCCCATGCACAAATTCCATAGGTGAGATAGGGGTAAATAAGAGAGTGATAAAGGGCCAGGAGGGCTGACTGTGGAACATAGTACCTATCTTCGATAGTATGCCTACAGTCTTGGAAATTTTCTTAGAAATTTGTTGTATATGTGTATGAAATTTGAGTCTATTATCAAGGTGGATTCCTAAGAATTTTCCCTCTGTTAGCTTTGTGATAGGTGATCTGTTTATCGTTATGTTAAGAGGTACATCTGTAGCTCTGTTACCAAACTGAATGAAGTAGGTTTTGTCAATGTTTAGTGTAAGTTTGTTAGTCCTCATCCAGGTAGATATTTTCTGTAATTCGGTGTTTACAGTATTGGCTAGCGTGACTGGGCTCGGGTGAGAGAAGACGTATGTAGTGTCATCTGCAAAAAGTGTGGGTTTGAGTAATTGCGAAGCATTTGGTAGGTCATTTATGTATAGGAGAAAGAGAAGAGGGCCAAGGACACTTCCCTGTGGGGCACCAACTGTAATTGGTTGAGCGGAAGAGCTTGCCCCATTTGCATACACATATTGGCTTCTGTTGCTGAGGTATGACTTGAGGTAGTTGAGGGAGTGCCCTCTTATACCATAGTGTGACAATTTTACGTGGAGCAAGTCATGGTCAACTGTATCAAAAGCTTTACGTAAGTCAATGAAGATCCCCAGTGGGACTTCTTTTTTCTCTATTGCAGTGTATATATGTTCTAGCATGTGTATAATAGCATCATTAGTATTTTTATTAGGCCTGAATCCAAATTGGCAGGGGTGGAGAATGTTTTGGGAGATGAGGTAGGAGTAGATTCGTTTATGAATTAATTTTTCGAAGATTTTTGAGAGAGGGTGTAAATTGGATATTGGCCTATAGTTATTCAACTCTGTTTGGTCTCCTCCTTTAAGGATCGGGGTGACCCTTGCTATTTTGAGAGCTGTAGGGAAGGTGGAGGATTCAATGGATTTGTTAAAGAATGTTGCAATGATTGGTGATAGTACTTGTGACACTTTTTTGTATATAAAGGGTGGTAAGGTATTTAAATCTCCTGCCTTGTTTTTTAGTGTGTTGATAATAAGGGAGACTTCGTATGGGTTAGTCGGAGCTAGGAACAGTGTGTTCGGGTAGTTGCCAGTGAGGTAGTCATTTGGTGGGGTATCTGAGCTTGGGATTTTATTGGCAAGGTTTTGTCCTATAGTGGAGAAATCATTGAGTCTGCTGTTTCTGTTGGTGGGAGTTGGGGTTCATCTGATTTTGCTAATTTTATTTCGCTATTTCGTGATATCTTTTTTGTTCCCAGAATTTCTGATAGGGTCTTCCAGGTCTTTTTTATATCACCTCGTAAGTTGGATAATCTGTTCTCATAATACAGTTTTTTTGCCCTTCTTATCAGGCTGGTTAGGATTGACGAGTAACGTTTTGTTTGGTCTCTGGTTATGTGACCCATTCTGTACTGTTTTTCATATCGGTGTTTTGTATTTATGGATTTGAGAATGCTGGGTGTTAGCCAGGGACTGTTCAGTCTCTTAGCTGTCATCTGCTTAGTTTTTTAGGGCAGTGCTTGTTATAGAGGTATTGGGTCTTTTTTAGAAAATTATTAAAACATTCGTCAATATCTGTATAGATTTCTAGCTCAGTGTGCACACACAATATAGTCACTAAGATATGAAAACAATCTTAGAGTAGGAATTATAATATAAACTTATAATATAAAAATACAAATTGAAATGGTACTTGCAATTGCACTAGAGTCTGGTATAGGTTGTTGACAAGATCAGGAGTATAACTAGTCTTCAAGTTATGTCCTAGAATTTGTATTGATAAAGCCACTGGATGGCGAAACGTCTACAATAAAGATACCCAGATGTTGCACATTGTCTTAATCTCAACTAGATTTAAATTGACAAAATATAATTCACAATTAAGTACCAAAATAATAATAGTAAAAAATAACAAGGGTAATGTCTTGGTTATAATATGATAGTAAGAGGGTAGACAGGTACACAGGTACAAAGGATAATATAAAGGTTGGAGTTGAATATACAAATTGAAAATTTGGCAACAAAATGTTATGGGAAGTATAAAATAATGTTTAATGTACAAAAGTAAAATTGACTGGTAGTAACTATGGTGTTTAATAAAATTTTAGTAAGTAATAATGATTACAAAAAAGTGAAAAAGTAATGTTTATTTCATTCAATATTGCACTGGTAGTTATACTAGAGGTTATATGGCAGCACAAGGTAATTAAGAGTACTCTAAGATAGTAAATGTGGTATTAAGACAGGTAAAGGTAATTAGACAAGTAATGGTTATTAAATGTCAAAAATGTTAAGAGTAAATTGAAATTATAGTAAAAATGATAATTATTAATTTTAGTAAGTAATATCAATTGATAGTATTTAAAAAAAATATGAGGTAATAATATGGACAGAGAAAGTATCAATTCAGCTAATGTTTAAGCAGACAATAGTAAATAAGAAAATTACATAAGGTGACTTATGCTTACTAGTAAAATCACAAAATGAGGTAGTTGATTATTTAATTACTAAGAGATTGTACAATGAAATTTGAACAATAATGGAGCAAAACATTCACTACACTACGTAGGCTTTTAGGTTGGACATTGTTTAGTTATTCTCTGTAAGATTAGTACCCCTGAGAAATCGTGATAGATCATTCTCGTTCGTTATTGTGTACAGTTGACCTACATTTGTTTTCCTAACAAGAATTTTCCCATCCGTGTGAAGCATTGGTGTATTGTGTCATTATTCTCCCGCTTAAGTTTTCTGACTCTTATAAGGAGGTTCTGACGTTTTTTGGTAAGACACTCGTTTATGTATACCTCTTTCTTTACTTTAATAGATGCAATAATTAAGTCTTTTTTCCTGTCATGTGAGTGGAATCTAAGCATAACACTTTTTCTACCATGGGATCCTAGTAACCTGGCTTCTTTTATTTCTGACTCTGGTACAATAACACTTGTTTGGTCCTTTATGATCTGCAGAGTAATTTCTTTACTGTTTGTTTGGTTCATATCACTGGGAAAAAGTGGACTGTTAACTATTACTGCGTCCGATAGTTTATCTTGCTCGGTTTTATCTTCTTGGAGAGCAAAGTAGTCACTGAACTGGTTATCTAAGTTGTTCTTCCATTCTTTTACTGCTTCTTCAACCTTTGTATTAAGAGATATTATTTGTTGGGTATGGCTATCTATGACTGCTTGGATGGTCTTGTCACAGTTAGTCATTCCTGGTGTTGATAACTTTTGTTCAAGACTGAGGATTTTGTTCTCGAGTTGTGTCATCCTGGTGTCTTGTTTTGTTAGCGTCTCTCGAAGATTCATATTTTCAATAACTAAGTTGGAGATGCATGTTTTTAGGGTATCTGGATCGTTGGTCATACCTGAGAGAGTTCTTGGTAGGTTGAATCCGGGGAAGAGAGGGGAGGATGGGCTGGTGGCAGCCATGTTTGTTGTTATTGTTGTGGTGTCGCCTTGAGCGGTGGTGAGTGGGGTGGTTGCTGGGCCGGCGTCCTCCTGGCTACACTTGTTGAATAGTTGATTTTTCGGTGTTTTCTTGCTGGCCTTGGTGCTGTTTCCTCTTAGATTGCGCCTCATAATACTACAGGAATTGTTGTAAAGAAGAAGTTGTAGTTATACAAAGCTTAGGGTTACGTTGTTCGGCTGGCAGCGGGGTGTTGCTTTCGGTTTGTGGGCAGTCTTCCTTTGATCTCTATTATTTTCGATTTGTAGGTTTCACTGTTGGTAATCTTTGGTCATTCTGGGTGCTACGTTGGGTAGTGCAGTTTTGCTTGTAACTAGGTCATCATAGGAGCATTGGTAGCTCTGATAGTTGGAGAAAAGTACGGAGCTTGGAAGTCGCTGCTGCCGCTGCCGCTAACCCGTTAACATCTTATTATCATACTAAAAAGACTATCTACTACACGAGGGTCATTAAGACTATCTACAATACGAGGGTCATTACTAGGAATAAGGTAAAATTTACACGTATGTTAGATAAAAAATAGAAAATCATTCCCCTCCCTTTCTGTAGCTACATTCATCAGACACCTTTTGGCACTCTTCTTGAACTGGTTCATGCTATGACTGGCTTTGACATGTGCGGGTAGTCTATTCCCTTCCTTTATTGCTGTACAATACAAGGTGTTTGACGCCTGGCCACTGACTGTGGGTACTACAAAGTTGTGCTCTCTCCCCCTAGTACTATGATTGCTTTGGTTCCCAACCTTGACAAAATTGACAGCAAGATATTCCGGACACTGTTTGTGAGCAATTTTATACACATGATTTAGCTTCAGTTGTTTCACTCTGTCTTCAACATTCAGCATATCCAACTGCTGTAATTCATCCTGGCCTACATGTTCTCTTGGTCCCAGCCCCAGGATGAATCTTACGATTTTGTTCTGGGTGATTTGCAGTCTATCTTTCAGTTTTTTTGTCAAGGCAGAGTACCAAGAAGAGCAAGCGTAACCGAGGGAGTCACAGTTCTGTGACCTACTGTGATTAAGTCCCACTTATCTCACTCAAATTACTTGCATGTAATACCCTGTAAACCTCATGCAGGCAATTTTCTCGCATAATAATTCATAGGTATACAGTATAACCTCTGTATTCGGAATTAATTGGCTCCTGAGAGTGTTCTGAATGTTGAATTTTCTCAATATTGGATCAAGACGTGTTCCATTTTCGTGTTTTGAAATAACTTTTTTTTTTTTTTTTTTAATTCAGTGGTGGCTCTTACAGCTTTCCTTTTAGGTTTTCTTCACTATTCTTATTCGGAGTCACGATCACTTATTTTCAAGAATAAAACAAAAATAACACACTTATACAAAAAATAACAATTGAATCACAAGAGCTCAAAAAGCATGTGTCGGTTCGAAAATAATGACATTTGTGAATATTGGTACTTTGCTCTTCTCGATTTTTTTTCTGAATGTTGAATTTTACGAAAAAAGGTGCATCTGAATACAGAGGTCACTGTAGCGTTTTGCCTTAATGCTGGTGAGGGGCTCTTGATCCAAAGAACTGGACTTAACGTACCCTTGCTTAGATTGAATTTGAATACCTCCCATTTCACAGGTGCTATATGACCCCAACGGTTTAGTGCTTTCCTATAATTAAAATATCACATTCGTGAATGGAATCAATTGTCACTTTAGTATTTAGGTCCCCTACCACAATTACTCTCTCACTTGGTTTAAAACTCCCTAAACACTCACTTAATATCTCCCAAAATCTCTCTCTCTCTCTCTACACCTTTCTTTTTCAGGTGCATAAATACTTAATATAATCCACTTTTTTGCAACCGACCTTTATTTTAATTCACACAATCCTTGAATTTTTACATTTATATTTCCTCTTTTCCTGCCAAAACTGATCCTTCAACATTATTGCTACTCCTTCCTTAATTTTAACTCTCAGATACCCATGACCTTATCCCATCTATTTCTCCCCACTGATACTCTCCTACCCCCTTCGGCTTTGTTTCGCTTAGAGCCAGGACATCCATCTTCTTTTCATTCAAAATACTGACAATAATCTCTTATATATCATTTAAAGTAATTCCACGCACATTCAAACATCCCAGCTTTATAAAGTTTCTTCTTATATTTAGTAATTTATAATACAGAAGGGGTTACTAACCTCTTGCTCCTGGCATTTTAGTCGTCTTTTACGACACGCCTGGCTTACGGAAGATAAATAATATACATCTGCATAAGCATACATACAAGAAATACATATACAGATATGCATACTTACACACACAAATACATACACAGATGTATACATATGAAAGTGCACAAACGTTCAGGAATTCATACGTATAAATATAAACACACGTAAACATATTTTTATACTTTGCTGCATTAGAATTTTCTGATAACCTTTCACTGTTACTTTTGCCTGCACTTAGGTAGAGGAGGCTGGGTTTACAGAATACGGGAATACCTTTCATGAATGGCGAAGCGACCGAAATACACCTTGTTACTATTTTGTGTTTGCAGTTGCTTACATATTTACGTGGAAGATCGTGACTTATTTTGTCTCAAGTGATCTCACTCGTGATTTACACCAGTAATACTCAACAAATGTTGTATTTCACCTTTTTTTTTCAGAAAATATAAAAAAATATATTACATTGCTTACATGAGAAAATTTTAAACTATGTATTTAATTCAAATTTATATTAGGTAAATCTTTATTTAGCTTAGGCAGAAAATTGTGACACAGAAATGCTTGTATAGCAAGACAAGTTATGTGACATGTTAAACAATGTAGCTCTTCAAGAACAGTAACTGACATATTTTATATGACTGCCAAAACAGCAAAAAAAAAAGGTGGAAATTGTTTTACCAATTAACAATTTAAAAATCTGTTTCGATATTTTGTGAGGTAATCCTAGTAGTAAAATGTGAAACCATAAACAACCTTTTCCGCTGCTCTATTCTACTCCACTCCTTCCCTTCCCATTTCTTGTTAGTGATCTTATGTCTTTGTAAAGCAAAGCACTACATAAGCAGCTGTAACTTGGGGCTCAATACTAAGCAAAAGCATTCACTACAACATTATGAATATAAAAACGATGCTGTTTTTTCAGTTGATATTTCGCAAACATACTCGTATGTTCCCATGGACCATTCAAATAAAATGCTTTAAAAATATTTACATACATATACACTATAGGGTTGTCAGGGAAGGAAAATACTCAAGAACTCCAGGGAGGCATCTCTAAATTTTCCCTGAAGTACGATTATTGTCTCCCAGGCTGAGGTTCTCCAGTTACCACCACAGGTGCTACTTCTTTTCTTCGTCGACTACTTTTTCATGCAATGAATTTTTGTTATAAGTGAAAACATAACAGGCATTTCAATATTTTTACTGGATGTGCGCGTCTCACACCACTGTGACGAATATGATTAACAGAGAAGACAGTGTTGGAGGTTCCTGATAAGCTTAGGGAAGATGATGTAATCCATAAGATCTTCAGGGCTGAAGGTTGAAGCGTGGCGCCTCAGAGGACCTTAAAGCCGGTGAAGGTGGTGTAGGCCCTGGTGGAGGTGGCGTCGTACAGTCGCCCTTCCTCTAGCTGCAGATAAACACTGTCGCCAGCGTTGAGGTAGAGGACAGCACTCTGGCTGCCCATCTGATACCCTGTGGCATCACCGTAGGCGTTCACCACCTCTGCCCCGTTGTGCCTCAGGCTCACCCTTTTGTATATTAAACAGAATCAGGAACATCAGCTGTGAATTATTGCTCTATCGTATTGCTGTATGACCCTTCCGGGTTTAGCGCTTAGTTCTTATAATAATAATAATAAATAATAATAATAAAATAATACTCTGTTGCATATGCTAATTACATTGCGGAAACAAAAGTCAGCTATTTCCTGCATTTTCCCTGCAATATTTTTTACCCTTCGAAATCCACCCCATACTTAGCACATTCCTCTCATGACTTACTTTCACTCCAGCCAAACTTTCTTCCAGCCATCATTTTAATTCATTCATTCACTTTCACTTGTTTTACCCTTGGTCATTCTTATAGTACTCCACCTTAATCTTACTCTACTTACCAGTAAATAATGATCTGATTTGGCAGTTCCTCCTCTAAAAATATATATACATGCAGGAGAAAAAGGATAGAAGGTTGACTAAATAACAGCTCACCTGAAGTGTGTGTTGTGGTCAGACATAGCGGCGAAGGTGAAGAAGTAGACACCTGTTGTGGGGGCGAGGAACTCACTGGTGGCGGTGTTCCAGCCAGTACCAACCTGCTGCACCACTCCAGGGCAAAATACCACCATTACATTAGCCAGCACCAGGACAAAGTAGTAGCAGCAAGAAACTGACCAGACACTCAAACACATCACCCTTCAAGGGAGGGGTGCCCACATATTGGCCAAGGGCTCTTTATCCAAGGCGTTGGAATTCTAACCTTTAAATCAAACATGATTACTGTTCATTTCCCAGGCGCTGTATGATCCCTATGTTTTTAGCGCTTCCCCGTGAAGATAATATATTAATAAGCAAAGAGGTTAACTCCAAGGCTCTAGGAAGCAAGGAAGACACGTACTTGAGAATTAAACGAGACAGAGTTCACTATATCAGTGTAAGAAAAGAACCAGAAAGAAAAAAGACGGAAATGAACTTTGAAAAAATAAAATAATGGGCAAAATAAATGTGAATGGCAAAATAAAAAACTCAAGAATGACTACAAATTAAATAGAGAAAATGTGTGAAATGATAAATATAAAGTTTCAAGGTGTGTTGAGAAGAGAATATGTCAGATGAAGCCAAGTGAAATTACCAGGATCTAGTATAAGTGTAAACCATTAAAACATTAGATAGTGAGAAAAAGAACAATAGTATTTGATAAGACATCACCTTGAGATTTAAAATAATGTGCAGAAGTTCTAAGTTATCTATTCTGGGGATGTCATTACTAAAATATCAACCGGCAGATAAATGAAAAATATCATACGTTGTGTCGATATATATATTTATATATATATATATATATATATATATATATTTATATATATTATATATATATATATTATATTTATATATATATATGTGTGTGTGTTGTGGTGTGTGTGTGTGTGTGTGTGTGTGTGTGTGTGTGTGTGTGTGGTGTGTGTGTGTGTGTGGTGTGTGTGTTGTGTGTATGTGTATGTGTGTGTTGTGTAGCATTCAAGATTTTTAAACTTATTGACAAACATTCCTTAAAAGTGAAGAGGCGTTAGAGAAAAGCGAGTAATATTCTTAATACAATAAAAGCCTAGTGTCAAGCAGTTGTTTCCGATCATCAAAATTATGTATATCAAATCTATTAAAGCAATAACACCCACATAAATTATTTAATAAAAAAAATGGATGGGCGGACTGCATTTATTCTTTGAAAATCTGCCGATGGAATTCCATTTGAAAGATTAATCTGGAAACTGCAAAATACAGGAGGAAGAATAAGCAAATTATTACAGTGGATGAAAGATTTGCTGTTTCAGAGCAAAATACGTACGAAGCAATAAGAACAAAAATGTTGTGGCGGGAAATTTTCACCAGTGGGGTACTGCTAGGCTTGTTTCTAATTTATAAAGTAAAAAAAAATTGTACATGTCTTGAAATTACTCAAAAATTCTACGTAAAACAATAATAAAATTACAACAATTCCCAACGATAATAGTATCTTTTTTGCACAAGTACATGTACAAGGTATACAGATCCAGCTGACATCAATGACACTACTATATAGAAAGCCCCTTGTTATGCAGAGTATTTCGGGCACATTAGGTCATTTTTTTCCCAGGATGCGACCCACACCACACAGGGACAACAGGTATCTTTCGGAAACCCGTCCTAATGTTTTCCTGCCGTACCGGGGGATCAATTCCGGACATCAGTGTTTGGGCTGAGTGCGCTAGTGATCAAGCTATGAGACACCACAAGACTTATATAGGGCAAATGGAGTGACAGATGGATGCTGGAATTTAATCTAAGTGCCACATAGTAGAAATAGGATAAGACAATAACAAGCTATACCAAGAAAATATATTTTGTTCTACAACATCTAAAACCTGGGTCAGGAAAAGGCATCTTTGAGTAATGATAAATTACACATCACCACCAGACGATCACATACATGCAGCAGCGAGAAACTTGTGTTAAGCTGATTAACTTTCACCTGAATGATGGGACGATAGTGAAAACTATTTACAAGATCCTTTAGACCAAAGATGCTGTAGATAGTGTCTAGAAGACTTGTAGGAGAAATATCAAATCCAAAGACATGTTACCAAAAATAAGAAATGTGAATTATGAAAAAAATACTGAAAATGGAAAAAAACAGAGACGCAAATTCAGTATAATGTGATCTTCTGCCGACGTTTCGCATTATACTACCTTCGTGTCTTTTCCATTATGTCTTTATTTTGTACCATTTCTTGGCATAGACTGAAAACGTTTGGACTGTCCTCGCTAGTGAATGAGAGGAAACATTAAACACAAACTGTATTACACCATTCTATTATAGGAAAAAAAGTAAGAACAAGAGACACCAATTATAAACTAAAAAAAGTAATACTGAAATGATTATATAAACTATGTCTTCAAATATAGTAGGAGATTGGAAACTTACAGAAAATAACGAACGTAAAATAGAATTTTCAATACTTCTTTTGTTGAATGTCCCAGATGGGTTTAGAGCTTTATATAAATTAAAAATCTACACCTATAGCTACAAATAAGTAATACCACAGACCTGTGTGACTCCTTCAGCGAAGACGATCTTGCTCCCTGCTGTAGTGAAGGGTGAGGCACGGCGAGCAGTGAAGGCCTCGGTGACCTCATTGCTCACAGGAATGTATGGGGTAATGTAGGGATAGTAGCCGGTGGGATAGACGGTCCCCGTCCCTCCCAGTGTGTGGCCATACACACCAGGAGTGTTTGTCCACGTCTTCTGCAAGGAGTCTCCTCCCTGCCTGACGACTCCGGTGATGAGTTTCTCCCTGTGTTCAACTGAAGCAGTAGTCAGGCTCACCACCACAGCTATCAATGTAAAGCTCTTCATCCTACAAGGAAACCGATGTGAAAACATCAGCAGTAAATTTCACATCTTAAGAACATGATTAAAAAAAAAAAAGCCAGCTCAAAAGCTAAAGGAGAACTGAGCGTTGAAAAATTACAAATAAAATGGCAGTAGAAATCTGATTACTAGAACATTTGATGCCAGCAATAACCGCTATAACTGGTTAAATGTGGTCAGTTCTTGAATATGTATGTCAACCTGTGTTCGCCTTTACTGGGCAGTTTACATACACTGAAAGGTGTATATCTCAGTGCATGTACACCAAGAGGTATATACCTTATAAATGGTATATAGTACGGACAAGTTGATGAGGAAGATACATGTGCAACAATATAGTTATCTTTATTGACGAAAAGTTTCCCCTGGGCTGAGGGCTGCATCAGTAGAACACAATGATGAGTTCTAATATTGGAGACAGTGGACGAAGTATTTCTTTCAGCAAGGCTAAGGGACAGATTACCTCATACTACTTCTCCAATTAGTCTATCTTAAGATTGTAGTAATTCATCTCAGTATTCGACTGCTAAAGCCTGCTGTTTCACCAGTAAACATACCTAGTGTAGCACGTGGGTCACACTCATCATGAGGTGTATATCTCTCAGTATACGTTTACTCAAGAGGTGTATATCTCATTGTATGTACACCAAGAGATGTATATCTCATTGTATGTACACCAAGAGGTGTATATCTCATTGTATGTACACCAAGAGATGTATATCTCATTGTATGTACACCAAGAGGTGTATATCTCATTGTATGTACACCAAGAGATGTATATCTCATTGTATTTTTACACCAAGAGGTGTATATCTCTTTGTTGTACAACAAGGATGTAATCTCATTGTATGTACACCAAGAGGTGTATATCTCATTGTATGTACACCAAGAGATGTATATCTCATTGTATGTACACCAAGAGGTGTATATCTCATTGTATGTACACCAAGAGGTGTATATCTCATTGTATTGTACACCAAGAGGTGTATATCTCATTTATTTTACCCCAAAAGAGGTGTATTTTCTCATTGTTGTACACCAAGAGATTGTATATTCATTGTATGTACACCAAGAGGTGTATATCTCATTGTATGTACACCAAGAGATGTATATCTCATTGTATGTACACCAAGAGATGTATATCTCATTGTATGTACACCAAGAGATGTTATCTCATTGTATGTACACCAAGGGTGTTTTATCTCATTGTATGTACACCAAGAGATGTATATCTCATTGTATGTACACCATGAGGTGTATAGCTCTTAATTATTTTTATTATTATAATAAAAAACTAAGCACTAAACCCACCAGGGTCATAGAAGTATATCTCTTAATGTATTCTCCGAGGCACTGCTGGGGGGTGTTGGTAGTATTGAAGTGTTTACATCACTGGAGGGCGAGTCACGCGCACTCACTGACCCGAGGTATTATTTTACATGATACATTCTGACTACCAATTTTTTTTTTTTTTTTTTTTTTGGGGGGGGGGTAATATTTACCATCCAAGAAAATTGCACAATAACTATTTTTTCCGGACTATGGACAGATTGCTTATGTTATAGAAATGGAAATAAATTCTTCATTTAAGGTCAATATTAGCGCAAAACTCACATTACTATGACTGCAACAGTTCCAAACTAACCCACAAATTGTAAATGAAAACCGGACGACATTTAAGTCTGTCCTGAAATATTATTTAATCGCTAAATGTCGTTCGATTTTCGTGTCAGATTATTAGATTAGTTATAAATTAACTTACCTTTCCAGAAGTGTAGATGTGTGCCTGCTTACTGAGGGTGTAGATGTGTTCCTGCTTACTGAGGGTGTAGATGTGTTCCTGCTTACTGAGGGTATAGATGTGTTCCTGCTTACTGAGGGTATAGATGTGTTCCTGCTTACTGAGGGTGTAGATGTGTGCCTGCGTACTGAAGGATCAGCAGTATACTACATAGCATGGTGTCACCTGTCCCAGTATATATACAGGTGTGTAATCAGTGCACCATCACATCCTTATTTGTTGTGTATACATCCTATACTGGCTAGTATTTCCCTTCCTCTAGGGGATTCCCATGCAGGATGTATAAGAACGTAACCAGTATTTTTAGCAGGAAAAGCAATAACTGGTGATTCATAGTTTTCTTCTTTTTTCTCTCTCTCCATTTTCCCTTTCGTATCGACATCAAAACATTAAACGTACGTTTATCTTTGTAAAACAATGCCAGGGAGTGTTATTAACTAGTGTATCTCAACATTTGTCACTTGTAGAACTAATTTGTTGGAGGTATCATCCTAATCTTTCGGAGCCACAGCACAGAGAGAGAGAGAGAGAGAGAGGGGAGGAGAGAGAGAAAAGAGAGAGGAGGGAGAGGAGAGGTGAGAGAGAGAAGAGAGAGAGAGAGAGAGAGAGAGAGAGAGAGAGAGAGAGAGAGAGAGACGACTGTACACTGACATTCACTTATCCAAGAGAAGAAATGCCAGCTGCTCTAAGCTACATCAATCACCAGCTGAGAGCTATATCAGCTTGGGGAAATAGATGGCAAGTAACATTTGCACCTGAGAAAACGCAAATGATGATCGTCTCTAGGCACCATGATGGTAATGCTGGTGCAGTAGTAAGGATGAATGGGAGGGTGTTGGCACCTGGAGAAGAAGTTGATATCCTTGGGGTGAAATTTGACTCCAAACTAACCATGAAGAACCATGTTGTAAAACTTGCAAACCAGGGCACCAGGAAGCTTACAGCACTTCGGCCCTATCTCGGGATCTGCTTGACGTAGGGGTTGCAAGATTCTGTCGGGCACAAGTACGCTCACACCTTGAGTATGCTCCACTTTCTTGGTTTGCCTGCCCCCCTTTCATCTGCACTGCTTGACAGAGTAGAGAACTGAGCAAGACGTCTCATCTCTCGCCTGGACCCATCCCGGATAGATCTGTCATTTCAGCAGAGCCTTCAACATAGGAGGGATTTTGGGTGGGGCCCTTACTGTTATGTACAAGGCCAATATTGTTTCCCAAATTTCCACACTTGGATTTCCCCTTCGAGGACAGCGTGAAACAAGCTTTTATGCCACAAGACGGGCAGAAAGCAGCAACTTCATTCTGGCTGTACCCTTCTCCAGAACTTCACTCCATCTGAGATCCTATATACCCAGGATGACTCGAGTATGGAACACATTCGTACAGCATAATGATGTCAACGAGATAAAGTCAGTTGATCAAATGAAAATGCTGGCCCACAGATGGCTCCAACTTCATCCTGTTCCCTACTTGTATGTCTCATAATAATAAAAATGCTTTCAGATAAGCTGATGTAGGTAACAGCTCTTAGCTTGCCAATAAAGTTAGGAATCCTTAACCTAAAAACAACAGACATAGCCCCACTCCACAAAGGGGGCAGTAAAGCAACAGCAAAGAACTACAGACCATAGCACTAACATCCCATATCATTAAAAATCTTTGAAAGGGTCCTAAGAAGCAAGATCACCACCCATCTAGAAACCCATCAGTTACACAACCCAGGGCAACATGGGTTTAGAACAGGTCGCTCCTGTCTGTCTCAACTCTTGGATCACTACGACAAGGTCCTAAATGCACTAGAAGACAAAAAAAAATGCAGATGTAATATATACAGACTTTGCAAAAGCCTTCGACAAGTGTGACCATGGCGTAATAGCGCACAAAATGCGTGCTAAAGGAATAACAGGAAAAGTCGGTCGATGGATCTATAATTTCCTCACTAACAGAACAAAGAGTAGTCGTCAAAGAGTAAAGTCCCCAGGCAGCTACCCCCCCCCCCCCGGTGAAAGCCTGTTCCCCAAGGACAGTACTCGCTCCCATCTTTTTCCCCATCCCCATATCCGACATAGACAAAGGGTGTCAGCCCCAGCACCCTGTCTTCCTTTGCAGATGACACCCGAATCTGCATGACAGTGTTTTCCCTTTCGACACTGCAAGGCTCCGGCGGACATAACCAAAACTTTCGTGGGCTCAGAAAAAAATATGAAGTTCAAGATGAAAATTTAATTACTCAGTATGGTAAAATGAGGAAAATAAATCTTCATCGAGTTTCAAAACAAATTTGGCCACAAAATAGAGCGAAACACCAAGTCAAAGACTGGGGGTGATATGTCCGAGGATCCCCTTCAAGGCCATAAATTGTATCAATCGCATCGCTTTAAAAATGACAGGATGGATAATGAGAACCCTTTAAAATGGGAGGCCAAACCCCTGATGACCTCTTCAGGTCACTTGTTCTATCTAGGCTGGAATATTGTGCACAAAACAGCACCTTTCAAGGAGGTGAAATTGCCCACAGAAAATTTCAGAGAACTTTCACGGGTGATAACGGAGGAAAAAAAACCCTCAAATTACTGGGAGCGCTTGAGGTTCCCGAACCTGTATTCCCCGGAACAGGAGGGAGGATACATGATTTTTACACCGAAAAACCTGAGGGACTAGTACGAACTTGCACACGAAAAACATCATACGAAGCAAAAGATTGGCAGACGGCACCTCCCCCCCAAAGAAAAGCAGGGGTGTCCTAGCACGTTAGGACCATACAATAATTTTTCAGGGGCCCGAGACTGTTCAATTGCCTCCCAGCACACATAAGGGGGATTACCAACAGACCCCTGGCAGTCTTCAAGCTGGCACTGGACAAGCACCTAAAGTCAGTTCCTGATCAGCCGGGCTGTGGCTCGTACGTTGGTTTGCGTGCAGCCAGCAGCAACAGCCTGGTTGATCAGGCTCTGATCCACCAGGAGGCCTGGTCACAGACCGGGCCGCGGGGGCGTTGACCCCCGGAACTCTCTCCAGATTCCAGATTCCTATAAATAGCTTGTCAATAAAGCTAGGGATCCTTAACCTTGTCAAACCTTGTGTAAAAAGAAAAAGAGAGAGAGAGGAGAGAGAGAGAGAGAGAGAGAGAGGGGGGGGGCAGAGGCAGGCATGGGTTCTCCAGAATTGCAGATAATTTTCTCTGGAGCTATAACTGGCACAAGAGGCAGAGATAAATGATGATTGGAGATATTCTTCTCTGGAACCATAGCCAGAATAAGGGGTAGAAGTTATTAAGGACTGAGGGTGCATCTATCGATGCTGAGGCCCAAACATCGAATATGGAAGGTAGGTAGCTGAAGATCTCACAGTCCACACCGAGGCTATCCACTAGGAAACATTAGCAACATTTCGTCCCTCTCTCTACTTCTAAGTAGGCAGTCGAGGTAAGGATAGTATAGCATTAGGCTCTCTGCCCACCCTCCTCTACCTGCTTTGCCGGGTTGATAAACTGGGGAAAAGCTGGCATGGACATACATTTGGAAAATGGTATACAAAAAAAATGCTGTGCTGTCTATTTTTTCTGCTGCTGCTATATACTACTTCTACTACTACTATACTATATATACTATATATACTACTACTACACTACTAATAATAAAAATAATAATAATAATAATAATAATCCCAAATAATTTTAATAATAATCCCTGATGTGCTTTTTCAATAACTACTATTGTTTTGAGTAGAGAAAGGGGGGGGAAGGAAATTTGAAATTTAAACCCATTTCTCTTGAAGCAGTGTAACTGCTGCAAATTTTTGAAGAGATTAGAAAAAAAATGCAATTTCGTAAAGCCATATTATGGCCGCGTTTCTCGGGAAGCCAAAAGCTAAAATGTTCTGATAATTAGATCACAAAAACCCGAAATTAAAAGAGAAAAAAGCTTACGAGACGTTTGGGCCCGACTTGGACCATTTACAAAGTCACACAAACCCCAGGGGAGAGGACGGTTATTAGGCACGAAGAGGTGGTGGTCTAGTTGTTTAGTGTAGTAAAAGAATGGTTTTTAATACCAAACAGAGAATTGGGGCCTGCGAACACCCGGGGATCCCCTATCGTAGCGTTTGCCATCCCGCCCGCCCCTGGTGGCGAAAAAGCCCACAACAAAAAAAACCGACGCCCCACATGTCTTAAATTTTATCGTGTTGTGTATAGTAGTATAGTAGAGAGGTATGTAGTGGTAGTAGTAGTGGTAGTGGTAGAAGTTTGGGGAAAAAGGGGGACGAGCCCGTCAAATACAAAGGAAGGGGAGCACTGCAAGAGAGCTAGGTGCCCACAGAGGGAGAGCAAGCGCACAGAGGTGCGTGAAAGGGGAAGTTGAGATTAAGACACATGTGCAACTCTGGGTATCTTTATTGTAGACGTTTCGCCATCCAGTGGCTTTATCAATACAAATTCTAGGACATAACTTGAAGACAGTAGAACTATGTACAGAAGATGAGGTAATCAGTCCCTCAACCTAGGAGTAGGTGCGAAGAGCACCATAGTCGTGGAGATTCAGAATCTCCACGACTATGGTGCTCTTCGCACCTACTCCTAGGTTGAGGGACTGATTACCTCATCTTCTGTACATAGTTCTACTGTCTTCAAGTTATGTCCTAGAATTTGTATTGATAAAGCCACTGGATGGCGAAACGTCTACAATAAAGATACCCAGAAGTTGCACATGTGTCTTAATCTCATCTTGTCGGTATTGTATACCATTCGTACACAACGAAAGGGGAAGTGGTGAAATAAATGAAGAAGGAACAGAAACACGAGACAGAAGAGAGAAAGACAATCCAGAAAAGAAAAGGAAAGAGGAAAGGGGAAGAGGAAGAAGAAGAAAAAGAAAAAGAAAAAATGAGGAGTCAGGTTAAGTCACGGGTATTCTGAAGTTTGGAGCATTTTACAATGTAGTGGGAGAGGAAGGCATCTCCAGAGATGAAGCCAGGACTAAGGTTCATACAAGGAAAGTTGTGTATAAGAGAGGATTCAACTAGACGGCGACTGTTCGAGTTGGAAGTAGGGAAGACAGTTTTAACAGAAGACCAGTCAATAGGATGGCTATGATCTCTGACTTGACAGAAAAGAGCATTGTTAGTGTCGGCAAGCCTAACACTATTTTTGTGCTCCCTTCG